TTTTTTGCGTTCTTCTTCACTTCCGACACTAGGAGACTGTTAGCTGCGTCTTAGATGGCCACTTGAAAGCTTTTAAGACCCCAGTCGCTACTCACCAATATACAAGGTGGAGCAACACTTTTATGTATTTTGTGTCTAGGCTGCAGTCTTTACGGGAGCAGATCACCAGGCCTTTACTACTGTGGGGCCACTGGGTGGGTTTGAACCATCAACCTTAGGTTAGCATCTGAGCACTTAAGCATTGCATCACTAGGTCTCCTTAATATACGTTAGACCTCAAAACAACTAAATCTATCAAAAAAGAAAGAAAAATGCTATTCTTATTGACATGAAAACATACTCTGTGTGAAGTGAGAAAACAAAGTGAGTTATGAAAAAGGTCATACGGCATAATTGTCCTTTTGGGGTTAACAGTATGACCTAACTCTAGCCCATAGGCTGGTCTGCTTTTTTTTCCTGTTCAGTGACACTTACTGCAATCCCCACCCTATAACATCGTTCTTCCCGCTTCCTCCCTGCGCCCCTCCTTCCCTTCGTCCTTCCTTCCCATCCTCTCCCACCTTCCTAGCTCTGTCCCTGGACAGATGCTGTCCTCTTGACCTCATGTGCTTGACTTTCCACTGAGTGCATCCCCTCCTGATGTTACTGTTCACCTTACAGGCCTGTCATTGTTTGGCTGACTGTTGAGTTGCAGGGGTTCAGTTCAGTTCCTAGTTGAAGGGTTGTCTAAGGGCTATAGTCTCAGGGGCTTCACCAGTCTTCATCAGACCAGCAAGCCTGGTGTTTTGGTGTTTTTTATGATTCTGAGTTTTGTTCCACATTTTCCCCACTCTTTCTGTGACCTTTTATTGTGATCCCTTTCAGAGCAGTCAGCAGTGGTAGCCGGGCACCATCTAGCTCTTCTGGGGCCAGTGGTCTTTTTGTTTTGTTTTTGTTTTTTGTAAACCTTTTCTTGGAACAGAATCAAAGTCATCACGTATGTACTGTCCTGGCTGCTTTTATGCTGTAGCAGCAGAGTTGAGTGGTCACAACGGAGACCATATGGATGGCAAAGCCTAAAACATTGGCTATCTAGCCCCTTACGGATCGAATTTGCTGACCTATGTTTTAAAAGTTGCATGTGTACGCCTAAAAATTTGGAAGGCTGTTCACTAATATGTTAATTGAAGTGGCCTCTGAGTTCTAGAATTATATTTTAGATTTTATTATATTCTTAGTATATTTCTATATTGTTTGCTTTAAAAAATTATTACGTAATGCATTTTGTAATAGAAACAGCGTTTTTCTTTTGGGAGGCAAATACGTCATCCCTCTTTAGTTCATTTTTTCTCTTCCCTACACGACCACTAAGTTCTCCTGTCTCTTAATGGCCTGGTTTGTACCAACACAACCTTTCTAAACAGGCCGCTGTTCTCTGCTGGTGTGAGTGTTAAGGAGAAGCGCTTAGCAAACCAGCCACCTCGACTGTTTACTCACTTGGGTCTCTGATGCTTCGTGTCTTTATTTAGCCACCCCTTGTAAGTCAGCAAGCAAAGGTTCTGGCTTTTACCTCCTCATTAAAAATAGATCCTTTTATGACAAGGGGCTGGTGAGGCCATGAGTCATCCTCTGCAGTGCAAAACCAAGTGTGTGATGCTGGGTCAGACCTTGGGAGCCGGGCCTCATGACGGTACCCAGCCACCTCTATGACTCCCTGGTTTCTTGTCATTTCAGGAAGCTGGACGCTTTCATCTACGATGCTGCTGTCTTGAATTACAAGGCTGGGAGGGATGAAGGCTGCAAGCTGGTGACCATTGGGAGTGGGTACATCTTTGCCACCACTGGTTATGGAATTGCCCTGCAGAAGGGCTCCCCTTGGAAGAGGCAGATTGACCTGGCCCTGCTCCAGTTTGTGGGTGATGGTAAGACCCTGAGTGACTCCTACTTTCTTTGGGACCGGACACCCTCACGCTCACTCTGTTTTCCAGTTGGCTTTCCAAAGGGTCTCTGTGTGATGGGTTTGCTCACTGAACATATTTATGGATTGAGTGCCTATTGCAGGATGCTGTTGCTCTTTAGGTTACTTACAGTGGGAACCAAAGCTCGGTAACTCACATTTAAAAAAGGAATTTATTCTAAGAGTATAGGAGTAATGATCCCATGGGATTTAAGAAAGCGTTGAGCAAACAGAGTCAAGAAAGACGGGGTTCCCTGGGCTTTCCCAGCAGGAATTCTCTGCAATAGCTCCTCTCTCTAGAGCAGTGGCACTCAGATGGGGAGGAGGGTGATTCTGACCCCCAAGGGACACTTGACAATGTCTAGAGACATTTTTGACTGTCAAGACTTGGTTGTAGTAGGGGCAGTTTGTTTGCGACTGGATCTAGTGGATAGTCAGAGAGACTTATAAACATCTTCTAACACACAAGCTGTGCCTCTCACCCCTACAGCAAAGAATTATCGAGTTCCAAATGTCAACCTTGCTGAGCTGAGAAACCCTATTCTGGAGCAATGCCATTACAAAGCTAGGCTACACCAAGTCCTAACGTTTCTTCTTTAAATTCTGAAGTGTAAATTCCAGAGGAAGGACCCCTGATACTTTGGGCCAAGTCCTCCTTCCCAGACCCATCAGGGGCTGGACCCTGGATTCACCAACAGGTAGAGTCATGTTATATTAATGTGATCAAAACCGAAACCCACTGTCATTGAGTTGATTCACATTGAGTTGACTCACAGTGCCCATAAAATACAGAGTACAGCTGCCCTGTGGGGCTTCCAAGGCTGTCAGTCTTTACGCAAGCAGACTCCCTTATCTTTCTCTGGAGTGGTTGGTGGGTTCAAACCACTGACCTTTTGGTCAGCAGCTGAATGCCTTTTCCATTGCACCACCAGAGCTCTTATACTAACATGACAGCTCCTGTTACTTCCTGTGGAGAAAGGAAGCAGAATTAACCTCTAGAAAATGGACAGTGACCTGAGATCCTATGGGATTACACTACTGTTCAGCCCTTGACTGCCTGTCATGCAAACCATGCAAGGTCTGCCCTCATGGGGTTTACAGTCTAACGGAATTGTGACTTTTATGGACTTTGACAGCTCATGGGGCCAGCCGTGTCTGCAGCACAATTTCCTTTTCTGTCTGTCCTTCTGGACTTCCTGGCAAGGGGTTGCACCATCACTCAGTTTCCTGATACGGTTTTTAGAGGCCTTCCGTGAGTCAGACGGCATGATGGTTCCCTCTGAATTGACAGCACTGAGACAAAAATGCAAATGCAGCAACAGATGGCAGTGTAACCCCAAAACTTGAATAAGTGGGAGTGGGATACAAAAGACGCTGGGTAGGCTTCCTATTCAGACATGGTTACAGAACACGTCACATCTCTTTAGAGCTGGGAGAGGAAAATCTAGCATCCAGTCAGATTGAATGCAGTATCAGAATGGACAGAGGTTAGTGAGCAGGGCTGGTGTGAATCTGTCCCCCTCCTGGAGGACAAACGTCGCCACCCCACTGAGCGTTTTTGTGTTTGTCCTAAAGACTGGACCTGCTCATTCTGAAGTTTAAAACCTTCCCCAACTCCCTGCAACTTTATCTCCTCTTAGGAGCTCTAGTGACACTGTGGTTAAAGCATTGGGCTGCTAACCGAAAAGTCAGCAGTTCAAACCCATTAGCTGCTCCATGGGAGGATGATGAGGCAATCTGCTTCCATAAAGATTTACAGCCTTGGAAACCCTATGGAGCAGTTCTCCTCTGTCATAAAGGGTGGCTGTGAGTTGGAATTGACTTGATGGCAGTGGGTTTAGTTTTGGTTTTCATCTCCTCTATCCACTCCCAGATTTAAGCCCTGGATTCTCACAGTGGCATCAAGAATTCTAAATGTGTTTTATATTTAACACTCAGATAAGAACATCCAATGCTGTGGACTCCCTGTAGGGCATTTGTTCCTGCCTCAGATCACTGGCCCTGTTCTCAGCTGTGTGGTGGTGATTTGTGACTGTGTTGGTCAGCTGTTGCTGGCAAGTCTTGGAGGCCTACAGCAGGGAGCCTTTATTTTGCTCAAGGGAGTGCAACTCCATTGCAGAAGCCCTGCCTGGTCCGTGGAGGCTCTGCTCCCTGCTGCCAGCCCACGGGTCACCTGTGTGGGCTCTGCTTCATGTGTGTCTGTTCGGGGTTCAGGCTGAGGGAGCAGCAGCTGCCTGGGGAAGCTTTCTCCGTGGCTGTGTCAGAGGCAGGGAAAAGCACGGCCAGCTGCGTGTGCCTGTTTCAGGTGTCTGCTTCATTGTATCTGCTGATAACCTTCTGTCCAAAGCCAGTGTGATGGCCGAGCCCTAAGTCAAGGGCTGGGGCAGTGTATTCTACCTGTTGTGGGAGGAGTTTGAGTTATAAGACAAAGGGTGAAGGATGGGGCTCTTTGTCGTGTCTGTTGTTATCAGCTGTTGGTGAGTCGGCCCTGACTCATGGTGATGCGTAATGGAATTGGGCCATTGCAGTCCTTGGGATTTTCGTTGGCTCATGTTTGGAAGCGGATCACTGGGTCTTTAATCTGAGTCTCTATTAGCATGGAAGCTTTGCTGAAACCGGTCCAGCATCACGGTGACACACAGGCCTCCGTCCACAGAGGAGTGGGGGTGCGCTGGCTAGGAGTCAAACCTGGATCTCTCACGTGGAAGGTGGGGAAGCTGCCACCGCATGACCACTGCCCTCGTTGCTCTTTCTCCCTTCCCTCCATTGAAAAACGAGTTGCCATGGAGTCAGTTCTCACTCATGGTGCCCCCATGTGCATCGGAGCAGAACTGTGCTCTGTAGGGTTTCAGGGGCTGGTTTTCCAGACGTAGGTCACCAGGCCTTTCTTCTGAGGCACCCCTGGGGGGACTGGAAAGTCCAACCTCACAGTTAACAGCTGAGCTTATTAACCCTTGCACTGTCCAGTGACTCTAACATATCACCATGGCTGCCCAAGCACTCCTCCATGGGGCGACCTACTCAGCAAACAGGAGCCATGTTTTGGGAAGTAAACAGAGCAAAGCCCTGAACATAACAGGTCACTGGGCAACAAGGATGGAGTGAGTACATGCAAACATGAGTACATGCAAACATGAGTACACGCAAACATGCATGAGTGCTGTTGGAACGTATTGCACTTGACAGGAAACTTTGAAATGTGATGGGTAGCTGTCAAACAAGTGAGTTCCAACTCTAGCCCTACCTACCATTGCTGTTGCTCTCCCAACATCTATTATGAAACAGCTAACCTGTTGAGGAAATAGAATATGCCAGTCACCATCCTGGGTCCACGATCTGTCCTTTATTTAATCTTCACAACAGCCCTATCAGGATTGTTAATAGCAAATATTGCTGTTAACCTCATTTTACAGAGGAGGAAACTGAAGCTTAGAGGGGTTGTGTGCGTTAACTAGTAAGTGGCAAAGCCCCTAGTTCAGGAGCCTTACCTAGGAAAGTGGTCAAGTATGCAAGAATACTTGTTGCATTTAATTCTCTGTCTATAAAAGATAATTAATTATATGCTTGAGATTTATATAGGTCCTTCAGGAATAGCAAGTTATGTATATCTGAACTAAGGCTCTTGTCCCATTCATAAGTACTTCTGCAAAGGAATAATTTGTCTTACCCTCAGTTTATTCCTCTGTGAATGATTATAATATTTACCCAATAAAGTTGTTGTAGGATGAAACTAGAGAATACATGTAAGGAGCCTACCACAGTACCCAGGAACATAGCAATGACTCAGTAACTGTTTTCTGGCACTGTCATCAGCAGCAGCATTACCACCGTCATTACCATCACCACCATCACCATGATCACCATCATCATCACCATCACAACCTCTGCCCCTTCCATCAATGTCATCTCCATCATCGTCACTGTCACCATCACTGTCATCATTGCCACGATCAGCATGATCACCGTCATGATCGCTGTCACTTTCATCACTGTCATCACCATCACCACCATCACGGTCACCATCACCACTATCACCACCATCACCAACATCACCACCATCACCACCATCACTACCATCACCATGATCACCATCATCATCACCATCACAACCTCTGCCCCTTCCATCAATGTCGTCTCCATCATCATCACTGTCACCATCATTGTCATCATTGCCATCATCACCATGATCACCGTCATGATCGCTGTCACTTTCATCACTGTCATCACCATCACCAGCATCACCAGCATCACCAGCATCACTGTCATCATCACCATCACCAGCATCACCACCGTCATTACCATAACAACCTCTGCCCCTTCCATCAGTGTCATTTCCATCATCATCACTGTCACTGTCATTGTCATCATTGGCATCATCAGCATGATCACCGTCATGATTGCTGTCACTGTCATCACTGTCATCACCATCACCACCATCACTGTCATCATTACCATCATCACCACCATCACCATCACACTATCACCACCATCACCAGCTTTACTACCATTATCACCATCATCATCACCATCACGTCCATCTCCACCATCACCACCATCACTGTCATCATTACCATCATCACCACCATCACATCATTACTATCATCATCACCTTATCACCATCATCACCAGCATCACCACCATTGTCACCATCATGACCACCATCACCACCGTCACTGTCACTGTCATCATTACCATCATCACCACCATCACATCATTACTATCATCATCACCTTATCACCATCATCACCAGCATCACCACCATTATCACCATCATGACCACCATCACCACTGTCACTGTCATCCTTACCGTCATCACCACCATCACATCATTACTATCATCATCACCATCATTACTGTCATCTCACCATCACCACCATCACCATCACCATCACAACCTCTGCCCCTTCCATCAGTGTCAACTCCATCATCATCACTGTCACCATCACTGTCATCATTACCATCATC